TAAAGAAATTCCCCATCGTTCCACATTTTATTTATTTGTGTGTTTGTTCGTTTAAATTCCAATTATGGCACTGGGGCTCTGAACATACATTAGGGCCTAAGATCAAATTTGATTTATTATTACATTTAGGGGATCGTGAAAAAAGTCGATATTATTCACTGAGGAAAACTTATTTAAAGTGATCATCCAGATCTTAACGGTGGGGAAGTTGTGTTGCTAACTGCAAAAATAGTATTATTTTTCCTTAGCTTAACAAATGCTTAACATAACTTAATTTCTTGGAGCACTGTGGATTTTGTCCACATGTCTGCCGTGAATTTGTTAAAATTTGAGTATTTATCATACTAGTAGTTTTATAACTTTTCTTAAACTGCTCTCACCTTGAAATTTCACATAATTTTCGTCTGCGGCGTGAAAAGTTGCCCACTCTTACTATCCGTTTGCCCTACCTTCACTTTCGGCCTGGCTACGGTCCTGTGTGGCTCCTAAAGAAACGATAAAATCTACTACCCCCTTCCTAAAGATTGTAGTTCACAAAGTACTAAAAACCTAAAATTGGACCTTTGAAATTTGTTGGAAATTATTGAATGAGTCGGAATGAACAAGATCCACCACCCTTTCACTGCAACTGCCATCATGCCACTAAGCAGCGGCATTTGTGACTTTTAAGTCATAAAGGTCAGTCCGCCTTACCCCTTATCTAATAACTTGCAAGCGAAAATGTAGTTCATTTTCATATAAATTGTAAGGTGCTGCGTCATGAAAACAGCAACCCCCAACTTGTTTTGGGTGTAATGCTTGCCAAAACCACGTCTTTTGTTCAAGTTATTTCTAAATTGTAAGGTACTTGTTTTTAAAAAACACACCAAAACTTCTATTCCCAAATGACATCATTTGTGGTTGCGATACCACCATAATAATTTCATTTCCGAAATTCCTTAACTAACACGCTTCAACTACAGTATTTTTAGTTAATTTTCATATCAAATTTAATGAGCTTGATTTGATAAATAGCCCTCGAAATTTAAAACATCTCTAAAACCGTCGTTTTAGATGTTTCACTTACCCAAACCACGTCTTTGCACAATGGGCTAATGAACTTGAATTTTCTACAGCATTTCTAATGTGCTCTACAACATCCCTAGGGTTGGAGATCAAAAAATCACCTCCTTGGGTAGGAATTTAGAGATCAGAAAGGCATTACCTAAACCTGGGTATAATAGCCGCAAGTTCAATCGTTCCATTTGTCGTGGTTGCCGAGACAAATACCATTAAACACTCATTGTAATAATACAAGTTCAATACAAAATTATCTGGTCTGTATATGCGAAAAATGGAAATGCACTTTTCGATTCTTCAACTTTAAAGAAGTTTGTGAATACGTTGATATATTGAATGAATTTTTGGACCCATTAAATGCCTCTAATAAGGTCCCGGATTTAACATAAATACAGAGAGAAAGAATGAAATTGCTAGTTACCCTTTTCGTACAGTTTTTAGGCGTGAGGTGACACAATTATCTTGAGTTGCATATTTCGATTTCAAGACATTTCATTTTGCGAAGGTTCATTCGTATCAAATTAATTCAAAATTAGTAAACTGTGGTTCTTGTTAAGAATGAAATTATCAACAGACTTCTAAACACCTGTTTAAAATACCGACGCGGCCGACGCAATGGACTACACATGTGTTTCCAATTTAAGACTCGGATAGATAAGATGATTGTAATTGTCGTGTATAAATGTTTGATTTGGAAAATGATTGATTGAAACTAACGACAGTTACATGTGTGGAGGTAAATTTCCATACACAACATTTAGTCACACTTCACCATATTGTCCAACTCCAAAATCATTTTGCATTGTATGCCCATTGCCCAATCTTTAAATGTAAAAATTCAAATTACTTACTGCATTTTACGCGTACCTGTAATCTGTGTTTGTCAAGATTCACCCTTAGCTTTCTTGCTTTCGGTACTAGGCACTCGAACTTCGAACCATTTGGAATTTTTGGAAACCATTCCGCACAAGATGCACTTCGCGTTAACACGATCGAATGATTTGGTCATAAGTTATATTTTTTATGGAGGGGCGGTAACGTTAGCAGGTAGAGAGTAATCACCTGATGCGCTTATCTGCACGTGCGGTCACTTTTACCTTTCAAATAATGGTTTTGCTGTACCTGATAAAATATGACATGTGAACCCATGAGATTAGGTTCTAAATTAATTTTCATTCTCACATCGAAACAGTCAAAATCTGACTTTCCTTATCTACCTTCCAATTGCATTTTGTCACTGAAATATGAGGGTTATCCAGAAAGTAGCAGACGTTTTGAAATAAAAAATTTTAAACTTTCTTAATTTTTTATTTCAAAACGTCTGTTTCTTTCTGGATAGCCCTCGTAGCTTTCTTTGGTTCGTTCAAAAATAAACTTTAGCTTCTAATTGTTTTACTCAATATTCCCACGCAGGATTTGAAATATAACAATCGCCAATATTGTTAATTTATAATACCTGTATGACGAAGCGTAGGTTTTTTTGTATATGAAAGCGGTGCCGACGGTAGTAAAGTATTAGAATGGAGTGTCAAAACCAAGCATGGGGAAGAATTCAATAAAATTTCGAAAGGATGTCTGAGGATTTATCCGATTTCAGAGATAAACGGAGAGCTGGCTACGGAAAAAAGTAACTTATCGCTACATTGCTGATTTTTTGTGTATCCTGATACATAGTGAAGTAGAAAAAGTCATGTCTGCCAGAGAGATCTCGTGGCTCAAGGTTGGGAGGAGTGGTTAAATATTAATAAAACTGCCAAATTTCTGACTATATTTACCTCTGGCGCTTTTTTGTGCAACTTATCAAGGCACATCTTTTTTGTATTTAACATTTTTCGCTATGGTGCTTACTTTTCGAGAAAAGCGCAAATTTAAAAAAATTATAAAATAAATAATTTAACTTTTCAATTTAGAATGTCTCAAAAACTAAGAAACTCACAAAAAAACTGTAATGAACTTTTTTGTAGAACTTTGTATTGGCCAGTGTGCACAAAAATGAATACTAAAATTTTTTTGTTATGGCGCTTTTAAACTTTATGCATGTGGTTCAATTATATTATGAACACGATAACTCAATGACGCCTGAACTGATTTTGATGAAATTTGGAATGTTATAGGGTTGCATGGGGAATCGCAAACGACCTATTTTGGTTTCGATCCGTTACGATCTTCAGGGTTTTGAGGGTGTTAAAAGTTTAACGGGGCCATAACGGATTTAAAAAAATGTTTGTAATTTTTTTCGCATACACTGGCTAATGTGGCATGACACTTTACAAAAAAAGTTTCTTAGTTTTTGAGAAATTTCAAATTGAATTCATTTTATAACTTTTCTAAATTTGCACTATTCTCAGAAAGTTGGTAATCCTCATAGCGAAAAATGTTAAATACAAAAAGATGTGCCTTGATAAGCTGCACAAAAAAGTATCATCCATTTTTTGCGTCGGATTCACAATAAAGGTGCCAGAAGTAAATATAGTCAGAAATTTGGCAGTTTTATTAAAATTTGACATTTATTTGACCACCCCTCCCAAACTTAAGTCACGGGATCTCTCTAACAGACATGACTTTTTCTACTTCACTATGTATCAGGATACTGTACACAAATTAGCCATGTAGCGATAAGTCACTTTTTTCCTTAGCCAGCATTTAGCCAAAGATTTCCGTGGATCTCCAGGTAATGACAGGGAGTTTAAGGGATTTCTTCGGTCGCTTGTAAAAATTTTTCTATTGGACTGATTTTGTTTGTTCATCTTTTGATCGACGTAGAATTGTGTTTTCTTTAATTTACTAAAGAAGTGTTATTATTCATAAAATATGGACCCTTTAATTTCGAAATAACGAATGGGTTTGAATATTTTCTACCGCTCCTGAATTTTTCTTTTATCTCTTCCTTGAATTTACAATTGATTACAATTTATTAGCTTTGAAACCATTTGTTTAATGTAAAAAATGTTTCAGACAAAACTCGTGGAGAATTTAGTCCTCTACTTCCAGCTGTATTACCGTGATGTTTAAGGGGAGCTGTACACTTGTAGGTACATAGTATTTTTAATTATAACAAAACTACTTCCAAAAATGACCTAAATCTGTGCTTCCGTTGAAAATTCAAATTTTAACCAACTTCGCATTTTCAGTTATAAAATTTAAATTTGAACTAACTTCACACCCGTAATTTATGATATTCATAACATTCACAGTTATTCGTTATTATTGGTTATAAAGCTAGGGTTCAGGTGCGGAAAAATTTCTAACGGGCCTAGTCTACCTTCCACTCCTAATGAAAGACTATGAAACATGTCACAATTTTGTGCTATTTATTACTAGGTATGACTTTAAAAATTCATTAACACAGAAAGAATACTACAAATACCTACTGTCAGGAATTAGTATAAGAGGAGAAAATTATTCATTTCGCACAAATAAACCAATTTTTGTTCGTTAGCGATTAATTTATAGTTATATGTTTATGGTACACATCAAAGAATGTTAGAAAGGCGCCATTAAAGTTAAAAAAAGAAACAATTTTATTCGACTCGCGTACAATAAAAATATTTTAGAATGACCAATTTTATAATTTTTTCACCGATGGCTACATTGCAGTTTATTGCAGATTAACCCATAAAAATAACTTTATTACTAACATTGTTCATATTGACAGACATTAAAATGTAGATTTTATTCCGCTAAATATTATTAGTATATCCATAATCGCGTGATATATTGTTTATATTAGTACTAAATTTTCCTAATTGGTATAGTTTATGGTCAGTTTCCAATTCTTCGCAAAATGTTTAAATGAGGTTTGTCGCCTAGTAACATAGAAACGTCCAATTATAATTTAATTAACTGCGGTGTGAATTTAAAAATTGTAACAATATTCCCACGTGGAGCGTTTACCAATTTAAATTAATGTTGCCTCCTTCCACGGTTCAACGTAGTAATTAATTAAAACAAATCTAATGGCATTTACAAATTCACGCCGCATCGGTACGTTTCCCGCAAAATTGTTCAACAAAGCAGGTAGGTTTTTGTTGCATCTTTTAACTCATTATGCAACTATCACATTTCAGTCGATAATTAATGGGAATCAAGGATGTAGTGAAGTTAGCGTTAAGGTAATCGGTTTCTTAATTAACGTAACAAATGTAATTTGCAATAAAATGTTGATCACTTATTTAATGAAAATTGTCCGTAGTAAGGAACTTCCGGTTTTCAACTGTTAACAGCGTTACCTATTGTAAATCTGATAAAATCGTTTCATTGATTAGTAGATGAAAGGGGAGGGCTAGGACCAGATCCAAAAGTTTAAAAATTAAAGAATTTTGTGCTACAATAGTCACAACTAGGCATGGGAATTTTTTTCGATATATCGATAGGTATCGATAGTTATCGATATATCGAATAACAATAGATAGAGCTAAAAAAATCGATATATCGATATATCGATAACTATCGATATATCGATACTTATCGATAAGTATCGATATACCGATACCTATCGATATGTCGATGACTATCGATATGTCGATAACTATCGATATATCGATATGTCGATAACTATTGATATATCGATATGTCGATATCTATCGATATATCGATATGTCGATATATCGATATGTCATAACTATTGATATATCGATATGTCGATAACTATCGATATATCGATATGTCGATAACTATCGATAGATCGATATGTCGATAACTATTGATATATCGATAACTATTGGTACGATAAAATTATGTTATTGTTGAGATTTCAACGAGCGCTACTATTTTTATTAATAAAATCCATTTTCGGGTTTACTCTCGTGTAAATTTACTATTTTTAGTCGCTCGAAGTTTCGGAAACTTAACTTTGCTCCCTTTCTCAAGAGAAGCGCTACGTCACATCATCATCCATGCCAAATAAACGCAGTAATAAAATCTTTAGAAAATAGATCTTTTCGTCTTACTGACGATTGCTCAAAAAAAGAAGCACTTCAAAAACTTGAACAAAATGTTGCATCAAAATGGCTACTCTTTAGATAAAATAAAGAAGACAATCAAAGGGTGTAATCATGGCCTATGTATCGGTATCTGATTGATGGTTACAGAGGACCAGTCACAAAAAAACAGAAAAAGCTAAGAACACTTCAAATTTAGATATACAGTTTCAATTGATTGACATTTACGAAATCTAACAAAAAAACTCTTGATAAAGGTAGCAAAGAAACGTCGAGTAACTATTAATAGTCACTTTACACGAGAATAAACCGGAAAATGGATTTTATTAATAAAACTCGATAAGATAACTATCCCTGTCGATAACTATCGATACGTCGAATATTTCTCTCAAATGAGATGTGCAATTACCGCTTAATTACAGCGGTAATTGCATTGTAGAAAGCTAAAGAGCCCTGCGATAATTGCACAGTTAATATGGTAACTCCAATAAAGTTGCAAGAACTGCATTCGGTTATTTTCATATTTTGTTAAAAGAGCCCTCTTGTCTTGTCGGGCTCTTTCGCCAAAATATAAAAGTAAACTCATGCAGTTTTTAGACACGCTTTCAAAAAAATTATCGGTAATATTATATCGATACCTATATATTAAAAACTAGGTATCGCCATAACGAGAACTATCGATATACCGATACTTATCGATATAGCGGTAGTTATCGATCTTTCGATAGTTATCGGTGTATCTATAACCATCGATATTTCGATAATTATCGGCATATCGATAAGTAAAATATATCGATAGGTAAGTACCCGATACTTATATCGATAGGTGAAAACAGTTATCGCCCATCCCTAGCGATAACTATCGACATATCGATAACTATCGACATATCGATAACTATCGACATATCGATATATCGATACCTATCGATAGTAATCATATATCGATAACTATCGATATATCGATAACTATCGAAATATCGATAACTATCGAAATATCGATAACTATCGAAATATCGATAACTATCGTTATATCGATAACTATCGACATATCGATAACTATCGATATATCGATAACTATCGATATTTCGATAATTATCGGCATATCGATAAGTAAAATATATCGATAGGTAAGTACCCGATACTTATAGATAGGTGAAAACAGTTATCGCCCATCCCTAGTCACAACAAAAAACACGCCATAACTTACGAAAACTTTTTGCGACGTTATCACATCTTACTATCCATGTAAGATAGAAAAAAGTAAAAACTACCTATTTTAGATATTTTTAGGGCACGACCATGTCTGAGATTTTTAAATAGGAGGCCGTGAATTCATGGAAATTTTGTTTTGTTTACTGTATCCATGGTGTCTAAGGCGGCCGATGCCAATCAATGAAAGCAGCTGACAGTAGAAAATGTCATTTCAAAAATTTGAAAAATATGATATAATATCTATAAATTGTCAGTTCTTACCTTCTTTTCCATCTTGAGTAGTTAGATCTGATAACATCCCAAAAAGTCAAACTTTTCGCTTTCACCATAGATTTCAGAAACAAACGTAGGTAGATTCTCTGTTTGTGGCATTAAAAGTTTCACAAAAAAAGACACAGGGTCAATTTTTTCGCCGAGACGTTAAGAGCTTTTGAGAGTAAAGGAGCTTTAACGGTATTCAGAGACTTTTAAAGGTTTTGAAAAACCTCCAAGTATCTACAAGAGCTTCTCTAGGTTTTCGCCTTTCTAACCTTCAAAAGGTTTCAAGAACTTTGAGCAAGTTCCAATATGTATCAAGAGTCACCGAGAAGCTTTTATGACACTTTAGAGCATTTAAAATCACAAAATTTATTAATCTTGAAGAACCTTTGAGGGATGTATGAAACTTAAGACCACCTAAAACTTTTAGGAGATTGTTGGTCTCTAAGATCTAAGACTTTTCATTAGCCAGCAAATTTTTCCTCTCCAAGTATTTTCAATTACCTCCGCACCATTTTAGTGACCATTAGAGGATCTAACCTTTAAGGGCGTTTAATAACCTTTATATATGAATAATTCACTACAATGTAAATTCTTTTCAATTAAAATTAATTAATTTAGAGATATAATATTTGCAAGTAGCTATAATCCTATATAAATCTGTATGTGATCTGACATGAATAAATGCAACAAATGGGGGCGTTGATCAGGGACGGACTTATTTGTGTATGTGCTTCACTATTAATGAAAGAAACTATGCGTTCGGATGTCAATTATTTGTAATCGGAAATCGAATTAAGTTTGCTAATTACAAGTTCCTAATCAATTACATTAACTTAGCCGAAAGGATTCATTAATTTCTCTTCTTATAATTGACTCATTTCATGAATATGCCTTGGAAGTGTTCCAAAGAAAGTTACACTGTTTTGGGTTGGTCTTAAATTGTGTACTACGGCCGACAGTAAGGTCTTCTGTAAGAAGCAGGCCCAGGATGAACTACACCTATTATAATACAGGCATTATTATTATTTTCAGTGGGACCAATAGAGTAGTCCATTTCAATCCCTAATACCAGTCCGCGCTCTCGTAGTTAATAGGTTCTGAGTACCGTCATTTATGCTTTCGCTCGTTAGACCAGAATAAAAAAGGGGCACAGTCAACGAAAAATATGTGAGCGTATTCTCTCCTTCCGGCTCCACACTTATCAGGGAATACTATGCGATCAAAAATGAGTTGCTGTCGAGTCGCCTTTGAAATTTTTGTTTAGCTGGGAAATCGTATTTAACTTGAACCAGCACAGCACGCACAAATAACTTTTCGAAGTGAAAATATTGGGTGCGTAGGTCGGAAATGCACTTTTTTGTTATCAGAATTTCCATAACGCGCTAGACGTAGAAGCTGCAGGATACCAGTTTCTTATTTCTTATAGGCGCCAACGCCATATTGGATTTTTACGGAATCAGAAAGAAGAGAAAAAATAATGTGTCACACTCTCCCTCTCCCTCCACTACTTTTACTTAAATTTACAAGCAAAATCAAACGTTTCACATTCATTTCTCAATAAAACATCCACGGGTAACTAGAGCTTGATGAATGGCTATGATGGCCATGCATTTAAATGAAAGTTGTTTTTTGTCCTCATTCCGTAACAGTTCAATCTAAGAAACAAAAAAGTAGTAGCCTGGAGGTTCTACATCTAGCGTGTTATATAGAAACTCTGATAACAGATTCAGATTCTCTGAAAAATTCAATTTCCGGCCGTTTAAGCCAAGGAAAACGAAAACGACTTGACATTTTCAGTTTTTCGGTAATAGGTAGGTATCTGATTTATTTTCAAAGATTTTCCAAAAACGTTTTTTTTAACAAAAGGGGAATAGATAGATGCAATTTATTTGACGAAGGGTGACACCCTATCCCCTCCGGTGGCGTATTGGCATTCTGTACTATTATTCAGAGCAGCTCTGGTCTGATTCGCAGTATACTATGGCTTCACGTTATGCGCAATTTGATAATACATTATATACTGCGATTCAGAGCGCCGATATGGTTTAGTGCTCGGTGTCGTGTTTGTTTTATTACTAAAATCAGCTAAGCACTTGTCGCACCAAACACTGTTAATATCTTCACCCGCTTTTTTAAATTTCGCTTTAAATCCATGTTCTACTAGTTCCAAATATATACGATCATTGAAAACTTATTCTCGTGGCACATTTCAACCAATGCCTCTTTATAGATCATTTTAGTGCAGTTTGAGAACCTTGATTACACACAAACAACAAAAAATATGCTTTTTTCTTGCAAAGGGAACACTTTTTGTAAGTGTATCATGTGTTTTATAGAAACCCATTATATACAGTGTTTCAGAACTCTAAACCATATCGGTGCTCTGAATCGCAGTATATAATGTATTATCAAATTGCGCATAATGTGAAGCCATAGTATACTGCGAATCAGACCAGAGCTGCTCTGAATAATAGTACAGAATGCCAATACGCCCTCCGGTGTGCGCACCTTTGGTTCGTGGCCTTGGTGAAGGGAATTTTCAGGTAGTGTAAATGCGAGTGATCTTGTTTTGTGCTGCAAAGTAGTGTCCTGGGATTTCCAGGCGAAAAAGGTATCGGTGAAGGAGATTTCCTGGTGACATAGCTAACAACCGACCTTGTTTGTGTTGTTTTTTGGTAAAAACTTTAAAGTTTAATTTG